CGGTCGCCGAGGAACAAGCCCAGAAACTCTTCTGCAGCCTCCCCCGCGCCCGCCTTACTGCCAAGTTTGCTCAGTCTTCCTCCCCCAGGGTCTCTTCAGCTCGGGCGACTGTCACTACGTGAGGAAACCTCTCTCCCCTTGCCTGGATTTTTTTTCTAGCCCTCTAGTACATGTTTCTGCGTGCATAAGTGCTGGGGGTTTGCTGCCGTTCTTCCTTCTGTGCTCCAGACCACAGAGGATTAGTGTAAAAATAAAAGAGCAGAGCGGCGGTTTTGCCGCTGCCGTGAGGGCTGGTGACGTCTCTGTGCCATCGCTTTCGAGGAAGCCCTGGTGTGTGTTTCTGGGGACCCGCCTTGCCGGGGCAGGTGTCCCCCCCCGGCCCGGGCTGGGCAGGGGAGAGCTGGCCGTGCGGGGGCTACACAGCCGGCGCGTGTGGCTGGGGCTTCTTTCTGCTGACCTACCCATCCTCTCCTCATGCCCCATCTACCTGCATCCCAGCAGCTAGAGGCCCCTCAGCAACTCGCTGCACCCCTTCTTGCATGACGTGCTCCCTCAATTCGCTGCTTCCCATGTCTTTTAATGACCTGACTTTTCGGCTTTGAGAGTAAGTGGATTCTGCCACCCTCTCTGGCGGTTTTCCACCTTCCCCTTGCTTTCTGGAGGTGGTATCTGGACACCCCATCCCTGTTACCATTCCGTGTGCACCCGAGAGCCAGGAGACCACTGCAGCTGTAGCACTGGCTCTTTGCCGTGTTTCCTGCTGCCAGATGCCATTAGGAGTTAAAGCTACGTGAGTACTTTCTGAAGCTGGCAACGACTGCGGTACCTACAGGCGTGTTTCATGATGGGGGAGTAGGATGGCACGATGAATGCCATAATTGTAAATGGGAGAGGTGTTGCCTGAAATTCTCTGTTAGAAAGTGATCCTTGCTATAGAAAGTGGCTGACAGTATAAGTAGTCACTTAATATTTCTGCAATTCCTCCTGTTATTTTGGGAGTTGCTTTTTGTACCTGTGTGGAGTGCTGCTCCTGCAGTTCTTCCTTTTAGGCAGTTGCTGGAAATCTTCCTCTTTCTGTGTTTGAATTCTCTTCTGCTGTATTAGAAACTTCTGCTGATGTCTTCTGCTGCCCATAACTTCTTCCTCTTCTGTCTACACTTCTTCATCTCCAGGACTTCCTCTTGTTGGTGTCTCCCTTTCTCCTCATTTCCTTTGCTCTGAAGTTTCCACCTGGATATTTTACTTCACTATGCTGGGCTTTGCGATGGCTGGCCAGGTGATTTGGCAATTCTGCTCACCAGATACTGTTCTTGTATTTAAAGAAATTGACATTATTTATAAATTATGCATCTGTTTAATGGTAAGTCAGTCTTTTAACCTCTTGGTTGTGGCTTTGAAAATATATTTCTCTAAACTCCCTTTGTTAGTTTAAAAAAAGTTTGGCTTCCCAAAGGTGATGTCATGAATGTGATCAAGAACTTTTTCAATAACTTCCTGTGTTAACCAGAAAGATTAATGGTCTTTAATGAACTTCTGTAAAACTGTCAGCTGAATCTTTGAATTGGATTTGGATGCATTTCGAAGTGGGTGCAAAAGCTTAATACAGATTTATCTGAACTGCATGCAAACACATCTTTATGCAGGTAGAGCATGATAGAAATTTAAGTTCAGAGACAGACTCACAAATATATAACATAGAATCATTAAGGTTGGAAAAGCCCTCTAAGGTCATCAGGTCCAACCATCAACCCAATACTTCTGTGACCACTGAAGTACCATATGAAATGCCCACACCAGGAACAGGCACTCTGCCTTACATCACCTGGTCAGTGATGTGTGCAGGAGACATGCCCTGCTTTCCACTTTCTGAGTTCCCTTTTGAATCTTGTCTTTCCACAGATGTGGATGAGTGTGCCCTGGGGCTTGATGACTGCCACCCTGATGCTATTTGTCAAAACACCCCCAAGCTGTACAAGTGCATGTGCAGAGTGGGTTACACTGGCGAAGGGAAGAAGTGTGAAGGTAAAGTGAGGGAAACACTGTGCTCTGCCTGTGTCACCATGAGGTATTTCTAAGAAGACAGAGCTGTTAAAGATAATGGCTTAGAATATGGAGGGTGATTTTAAAATCAAAATAGCCATTGTTTCTTCACCTGCTTTTTTTTATTTAGAAATCTAAGGCAAGTGAATTGTATGGCTTTTCACTTAATAATATCACTTGGTCTAATAAGTGGTTTGTTGTTTAACCAGCAGCCTTAAATCTGCAAGGTTAACAACATTCTATGCAGGAATCTCAGGGCATTTTGGCACTCCTTAGAAACATTCAGCAAGTAATGCTTTAGATACGGTCTCTTTGCAAGGCAATGACGATTTGGGCAGCAGTTAGTTGCTGCTCAGATTTACACAGTCACATGTCTAACTGCCTGTAACACTCAAGCAAGCATCCATCTCACTGACTTCTGCGTTCTTCCGTAGACATCGATGAATGTGATAATGACTTCAATGGAGGCTGTGTCCACGAGTGTTTCAATATTCCAGGAAATTACCGCTGTACATGCTATGATGGCTTTATGTTGGCTCATGATGGCCACAACTGTCTGGGTAAGAAGTGTGTTCAGGAACGTTGTGAGTGGTGCTAACGTAGCCATGTAAGTGCGTTGCTGGGAAATGCATGCCGGTCTGTTGGGCTGAATCATCTCAACTGGAGAAGAGTGTTACATTGGGACTAAGGAACTCCAGGTACCTATGTAGCCTTCCAATTTGGCTCTTTAGATAGTTGCGCTACATTTCTGTCAAGTGTTTTGGGTCAAAATGTGTGAAATGCCATCTATTATTGCACTAGGTGAGTTTATGTGAAAGGGCACATGCTAGCATTGTCTTTTCTGTTCCAAAGTTAGTTTAGGATCATTTCTCAGGTGTGTTTCAAATCTTGCTTGCACAGCATAATTTTAAGGCTGTAGTTAGCCTGGCTGCAGTATTTTCCACTAGTGTATGGCATATCAGGCGGGGGATGAGACCATCCCAAGCCTGTATCTTCTGCTGGGACGAATCAGAAAAGCTCTGGAGTCTCCTGTGGGACTGTGTTGGGTTTTACCTGCTGGGAACATGGTGCACGGCTCCAGGTTTAACTTTGTTACAGTGTAAATGGAGGAGAGGATGAACTCCACTAAGTTTCAAGTATTTCACTGAAGAAAGTAGAGAGGAAAGCAGATACCTCCTGATACTTTTGCAAACACACAGTGGAGTTCAGCTGGGATTACCATGAAGGGCAAAGTGTGAACAACACATTGCCTCGTACAGTGCCACCAAAGGATATAGTCTCTTTATATCCAGTTGTTCCACTAGAGCATACTTGAGCTGACTTGTTTGTGATCAGTAAGGCTAGATGTAACTTAGACCAAAACCTACCACCTGCTGTATTACCAGAAAGCTGCTCAGTATTGCATGGTAGAATTTTAAAAATAAAATGTCATTGACATACAATAAAGCTTTACCAGTGACTTGCCAATTTTGAGATGTGATGTAAATGTTAAATAAATATTTTGGCGTACAGCAAATTGGATCACATCTCTTAATCTGTTTATTTACTTTGTTCACGCCAGGGTTACCCTCCTCTCACCCTTATTTTTGAAGATCTCGGCTGTGTGCCTGGGTTTAAGCCAAATAGACAATTACTTGTTGGAAAGAGATGATTTTTTTGAAAGCTTTCCAAGGTCTGTTAGACAGAAACATCTGCTGGAGTTCAAATCTGTAATATGAAAGACTCATGGTGGCTGTTTTTTCATGATTGTTTGCATATTCACATCACTATGGAACTCTGAAATACTCAGCTTCTCTGTGATGGAGATATGTCAGCCGCTCGTTGTGCTACAGCAGGTCACATTCTTTTGCATCCAATTGGCTTACTCATTGCCTTCAGTAGAAATTAAATCTGTTGTAATACTATGTTATGCTTCTTACTAAAAGCCTTTTTCAGAAGACAGCTGTTTTATGCCAGAAATGCTACAATGTTAAATTAAAAACATTGTGCTATTAGCACAGGAACAATGAACAGAACAGGGAGCAAACATGATGTTCCATATGACTTTGCGATGAGACTAGTGTTTTTGCCCCCTGTTTTTTAAAGGACTGAGCATTTTAATTTCCTGTTCAAATTGAGATTTCTGAAAATTAGAGTAGGAGAATTCTTGCTGGTAGTGGCTACAAAAAACAGCGCATATTAAGGGGTAAAATTCCAAAGAATTGGAGGTTGGGATAAGCATCCTGTTGCTCAGAGGCTTAGCTGAAGTTTTTCTACTCTTTGCTTCTCTTGATTGTGTGGAAGCGGAGCCTTTTTATGTTCTCTGGTATTGTTAAAGCTCTGAATATTGCAAAATCAACATTAAAACTATTTCCAGAACTTTTGCTCTTGTCCTTGTTTGCAATCAGGCAGCACAGCAGCAGCCTTGGTGGTAAGTGATGACCTAGAGCTGCAGCCAGAGGATGATAAATCAAACTAAGAATCAGAACAGATATGATGTGTGAATTCTAGCTAGAGTGAAAGCAAGGAGAGGGGATAAGTTTTAAGCTAAATTTATTCTGAGGTTTGCATTCTTCTTGTTCCACCTTTGCTTCAGAATGGGGAGCTTTCTGGGAAAATACCTTTTACATCTTGGATGGGTTTGGAGCCAAAGCTGCATCCCACTAAGCAAGACAGAGCTGTGTGTGGATGCTCAGCCTAGACGTAAATGTGCTAGGCTGCTGAGTGGTAGCACTGCCCAGCTGCACTGAGAGGCAGAGCTCATTCACGTGGGTGGAATGTAGAGCCTTGCTTCTGGCTCCGCCAAGGCTACTCTGCCTTAGCTGTAACCTGTAACTGGGTAGTTTGCCAGCATTTCTTGGGAGCCCTGTGGCTGACTGGACGAACTGCAAACAGGGCGAGAGCAGCAGCAAAAGTGTACTTTCTGAGGGTGACAGCACAACAGCAGCAACAGGGCAGCCTGGGGTGTCCAAGCTGCTTGGGTGATTGCATGTCAAATAAATGTCTGACTGTACTGCATATTGAGTGGCTGATGCCAATATGAGTGTACTGGTGTTCGTACCAAGCTGGTTTCTCCCTCCCTCTCTTTCAGATACAGATGAATGTATGTTCAACAACGGTGGCTGCCAGCATGTTTGTGTCAACACTGTGGGGAGCTATGAGTGTCTCTGTAAGGAAGGGTTCTTTTTAAGTGATAACCAGCATACGTGCATCCACCGCTCAGAAGGTACTGGCTGCTTCCCTCCAGGCACCAAGCAGGAGTTTTTGACAGAAGCTAACTGCAAAATCTCTAAAATAGCTTCAAAAGTGTTTTTAGGTTGAGTTTTTCAAAGCTGTGAAGGGTCTTGAAGTCCTCACTCCTTTTAAAAGGAACAGTGTCTCAGAATCTTCTAAGTGACTTTGAAGACTGTTCACATCCCTTCTGCCCCTTTGATCCCACCTGTACGTCTGCAGTGTTGTGCTTGTTAAAGCTGTGCTGCTGTACTTCCAGTGTACTTTGTGTGGCTAAAATGTGTCCTGATCCAGGGAATGTTAACAAACTGAAGGACAGTGAGGTCTTATTTCCATTTCCATTGGCTTTGGTTATGGGGCAATACCTGCATTACCTTCAGGTACCTTTTAGATTCCCTGTACAGTGTTTAGGTTTCAGCTAAGAGATTGATTGTTTGTCAGCCCCAAAGGTATTCAAGTCATGTTCTTTGTTTTGAGTGAAACCTTTATGAAATAACCTTTGAGAGATCAGAGAGCCCTGGATATCTAATTAGACACTGAATTGAACAAAATTATTTTGATGCCCTTAGGGTATACTTTTACGTGGTTACTCAGATCAGGGAGTTGTCCATTGAACTGTACAGTGAACATTTTCTAAGAAGTGTTTAAAGCTCCAAAATTTTCTTTAATCTATGGCTTATCATTGGCATGACTATAAGAAGAATCAGAGCATGAATAAACAAATCTCATGTTAAAAATCCCCGTAGTGAAGAGATCAACATCTATAGACATATATGGCCATCCACAGATGAGTACCCCGAGGTGGCTGTCATCTGACAGAGCTGAATTGATCTTTTGTTTGAATTAAGAATTTATGTTCTCAGTGTCTCTGGTACTGGGCTGGGTCTCACAGGGGTCTGCTGCTGCATGCTGATTTCTCAGGCCATTGCTCAGCTTGCGACTGCAGGAGCTGAGCCAGTAGTGGGGACAAGCAGGAAGGCTGCAGTGGTGGGACAAGGCATTTCCCTTCGTGTTGCTTTGCTAGCAGTCATGTGGGTTTCTGTGTGTGCATGGATGATAAAAATAGGGATGAGAATCAGTTGCTTGAACTCATTGGATTCTCTAATGCCATGGGAGGAAAAGCTTCACACTTTCTTTATTCTTAGCTGTTGCTGCTTGAATACCTTCTGCTCTCCTGAACTGACAGCAGCGTTTCCTTTCACTAGTATTTGTTCCTAAATTGTACCTTTGGAATTCTACCTCTGTTCTCTTATTTTTAAAGAGAAAAATTTAAAATTTAAATTTTAAATTTTAAAACTTTAATTTTTTCTTAATTTTAAAGTTAATTTCTTTTAACTTTTTGTCAAAAAAAGAGCTTTTTTTCCCCTAATGCCAAATTTCCACTTAATTTAGTCTATTTTTTACTTTGAAAAAGGAAGCAAGAGGAAAAAAGATACATTTTTTCCTAAAAACTGTTAGAGAAAAAATATTTTTATGGAAACTACTTTTAAGAAAAAAACTGGTTTTGCCTGAAAGGCTTTTTTTCCTTAATACTAAAATAGAAAATTGTTTGTTTTGTTTTCTTTAGAAGCCATTTTTTCAGGTTGTCATGCAGTGATTGTTTCCCTCCTGCCTCCCCTGTGACTGTGAAGAAGTGCTCCATGGGATTCCCTACTTTTTATTTTTTCTTGGGAGGGCAGGCCTCTTGGAAGCCAAATCTCACTGCTCTGTCTTTCCCCTCTCTTCATTCTCTGCTTTTTCTGCTCATCACTAGGTCTTCTCTTCTCTGCCTTGTGTATCCATCTCTTGGGGTGTTTATTAGCTCTCTGCTGAGACTTCAGCATGGATTGAAACAGCATTTGGCAACTGCTGCCTAGACCATCTCTTCAGTTTTGCTTCTTACCTGTGCTATGAGGGGGCATTTCCTTCCGTGTCTCTCAGCCCAGCGGGGAGAGCGCATACGCTAACGCTGGAGAGACCTTCCTCATGGTCTGCAGTACTGGCCTTTGCAAAGACAGGAGAAGAGTGAACTGGAGTTGAGATAGGGGAGAGAGAGGTTTGGGGCTGTTGTATGCCTTCTCATGACCAGTCTAACAGAGGAGCCTAAGAGTTACCTGCCTTTCCAAGTCTATCTGCAGTTATCCTCTGGGTTCCCTGTCACCTAGCTGTCAAGTAAAATCACTGAACAGAATTAGTTCTGTTCTAACCCAAACCAGGACATAAGAACATTAAGGCTCCATTTAGGGCACATTCGAATGGACTCTTAGTAGGAGCAACTTGCTCCATTAGCATCTGACAGCATCTTAGCAGATTGGTGGTGATGTCTCTATCCTGTGTAAAAAAGACTGATTTAAACACAGATTATACGTGTAAGAGATTAATTTCACGTGACCTGATAGGGAAATGCAATGCTGGCTTTTTGCCTGTGTCTTGGTGGTGGCAGGAGTGTTCAGATCTCACTGGAGTTTGCTGAGTAACTTTGCAAAGGTCCAGTCCTCAGGGAGGACTCATCTGGCTTGGGGTCCACTAGGCCAGGCAGGTATGGGTTTCACCTCTCTTGGCTCTGAGTGTGGTGTTCAGGAGACTCATCCATCCTGTGACACTTGTATGGCAGTAGGGCAGGGTCTCTGTCTCTAGGAAGCATGTCATGGATTTGACCAAAATTTATTTGGGGTTTGTTTCTGGACCATAATCTGTCATTGCAACAGCTCTGGAATAATGTGATCTGGGAGACTTTGTCTCCCTGAAGGAGTTTGCAGTCATACAGCATTTATGGTTTTACAGACATTTCTTTAATGCAGCCTTATAAAATGGGGTGGAGTAGGGATCTTCTACAACCTTTGGATACAAGCAGCAGTTTAATAGTAAGTGCTAGGATATGTGGATATGTGTATCTTCTCTGAAACTCTGTTTTTTGGGTCACCTAGGTTTTGGTGGGTTTGGTCATGTAACTTGTTACATGATGGGCACTTTATTACAATGTGCCCTGGTTTGGGACATGGGGTTCTAGCTTTTTGTTGAGACCTGATTCTGCTCACTCAGGATGGAGCAATCCTAAATTAGAGCATTTAAACCATTTGTCTGATGTCAGTGAACTTTACCAAAGTACCTGCTTGAACAGTTTCCCCTTTGGTAGCTCAACAGAGACAAAAGAATATCTTTGTTAACAGAAATTAAGCTGCTAATCCCTTTAATGCTTTCTAATGTCTCTGAGCTAACAGACCAGATCATACTGCATGCTTGAGAACAGAAATGTCACAAAACCACAAGAGTTAATGAGGCTAATTTGTGGCCTCAGACTGTCTTGTGCCCTGACTGGCTGCACAGTAATGGATGAGAGCTTTCATGTGGGCTTCTGGGGCTGTGTCAGTGTGTGCTGCAGGGTTTGCAGGGTCATTGTCTTGTGAGACTTCTACAGAGTCCTCACTGTGGGAAAGGAATCGGAAAGCCGGTAGAGCAGAATAATCTGGGCTCTACAATATCTATTCTTTTGTTGCTTGAAGCTGTCTTAATAGAGAAAAAAGGGTACTGTAGCTTGTGCTTCAGATGGTGAGAATAGTTGTATGCAGAGCAAGGACCTAATTGAAGTGCAGTGGAGTAATGGTGATGAACTAACTCTGCTTGCCAATACAGTGGTTCTGTTTCATTTAGTAATAAGGCTGCAAGAAGGGCTGTGTAAGTTTCAAAACACACACAGGGTATGGAATTGTTCACACATTCCCTTTTTAGCAGTATGGTCACCCTTTTTATTCTCTCTCTGATTGGGCATCAGCTCAACTCGGAAGTTCACTGAGGTAACATGGGATAAGCCCTTGCAGCCAAAGTATGCTCCACTTGCTCTTTACAAATGAAGTGTTCTCACCAAGAAGGAAGAGCATTTTGGTGTAGCATGTCTTATGCAAAATGCACTGAGGAGTTGGATGGCCAAGATGTGTTCTCTGTATACCTTTCTGTTGTCTTCACTCCCAATTTTGTACCACTATAGAAGACTTCAGTAAAAATCTGTTGTGTGATGTTAGAAAAAAAATATTCTTTTAATTTGGTGATCCTGTTTGATAACTTAGCTACTGTGTGGTTTTGTGTGTGTACAAATTGTCTCACTATCTTACCAATGGTGAAGGTGATGATTTAGCTAAAGAACAAGGCAAGGTGAAAGAAGTTTTACAATGATTCTAGGAACAATTCCACTCTGTGTAATGGACTTCTTGCAAAGGCCAGAGGAAACACTCTGGCAGTCTTTGAGTGCTGGTGCTTGTAAATACCAGAGACTAAAACGACAGGATGTTTTTAGGAGGTGCACCAAAAGGAAGAAAGTCACTAATGTATGACATTGCTTTTTCATTTGGTTAAAGCATGCATTGGCATGAGATTCTCTCCAGCTGGGAAGGTGTGTACAAATACAGAACACTGTGATAGTCCCCAGTGGGGTTATTTTGGGAGGTAGTTATTCTAACTGGAAAAAAAGAAAACAAAACAAAAAAACCAAAACCAAACCAAATGGTTAACAACAACAACAACAAAAAAAAATTGACATGCGGTGTAGATACAATCTGCACGTTTGCCTGGTCCCTATTTGGTCAGTGCTGAGGTGGGTTATGACTTTGGGCATCTGCTTTGCAGGCCAGTAATTAAACCTGGGATGATTTTTGTGACTGTCAGCCTAG